AACTGATGATGTGCCCTGTCAACTTTCACTCAATCCACAATAAAAACCTTAAATTAAAAAAAAAAAAAAGAACATCACACTTGAAGAATCCAAAAGAAAAGAAAGATCAAAACAGATGTTGGAGGAGACACTTAAGTTGTTCTTCAACATAAAGAAGCTAAAGCAACTGGAAGAAATGAGTAAGTAAACAGTTAAGCAGAAAATTTCATTGGGCAGCTTGAGAAGACAAAGTATTACAATGAAATGAACAAATTCATAAAGTTAGAAATCTAAAAGAAAAAAGCACACCCAGCATTTATTTCTTAAGCAGAAAGAAGTGAAGAAAATACTCAATATTTGAGTTATAATACTGAAGGATTCTATGGGCAAAATATTTAACCATGTTTTGTTTTTGTTGTTGTTAAGTGCCATCAAGTCAGTTCTGACTCATAGTGATCCTGTGAAGGTTTCTAAGGAACAGCTGGTGGATTTGAACTACCAACCTGTGGTTTACAGTCCAATGTTGATCCTAAAGCGAAGGAATGCACACAGTCACTGTACCAAAAAGAAGTGGTTGATATTCAACCATTTCAAAAAGTATATTATTTTCAAGAACTGATGATACTGAACTAAGAAGTCCAAGTGGAACTGAAAGCATGGCAAAAAACAAGGCCAACTGAAATGTTTCAACAAACTGATACAGCCATGGAAGCACTCACTTACCTATAACAAGAAATTTGGAAGGCAACTACCTGACCAATCAGCTGAAGAAATCCATATTCAGGCACATTCCAAAGAAAGGTGGTCCTACAGAATGAAAATTATTGAACAAACCAACAAACCCAAATCTGCTGCAAAAGACTAAGAACAAAGATATCAATTTAAAAACTAAGGTGCACCTGATCCAAGCCATGGTTAGTTCCAATAGACTCATATGCATGAGGAAAGCTGGACAATGAATATGGAAGACTGGAGAAGAATTGATACATTTGAGTTATGGTATTGGTGAAGAATATTGAATATACCAAGAATTGCCACAAAAACAAAAAAATCTGTCTTGGAAGAAGAGCAAATGTAATGTTCAGGTAATACAACTATTATGCAAATTTATGCACCAACCACTATAGCCGGTGATGACAAAACTGAAGAATTCTAACAATTTCTGTGTGAAATTGATCATACAACCAAAATTCATCAATCATTACAGGAGATTGGAATGTGAATGTCAGAAATAAAGAGGAGAAACCCACAGTTAGAAAATATAACCTTGTTATTAGAAATGACACTAATTACAAACTGACTGAGAAGAAATGATCAGAAGATTGTGCGTTTTAAATTAATATGTTGTATTTAGAATAATTATTATGTGAGTTCATGATAGTACTGTATAGATGTTGTTCCTGAGAACAAACAACTCTATCATGGTGATTAACACTCATTTTTCAAAAATTACTTACCTTTCAAACCTAGAGTTTGTAGCTGGAAGAGCCGACCAAGTTCATAAGGCAAAACCCGTAACAGATTGTTATTTAAAAGCAATTCCCTGTTTTTAAAAAAAGACAAATTTGTTTTAGTTTAATTTGTCAAATTTAATAAATATCTACAATTGTGGTTCTTAACCTTCCTTCCAATAAATCATGAGTTGGGATATCAAGTCACATTTCTGTATGTTTATCCAAAAATGTAGTATAATATTCAAGTATCACAAGAAATACAACTGTCATCATTAACAATGCTTATAAATCATTCTCAAACATAAATTAATGTTAGAAGTGTGGCAACTGTGTTATCATTTTCAGGCTAATGCACTATATTTTCTCTACTCCCCAAAATTCTTAACAAATACAAATCTGTGGCATGATACAAATAATCATACCTGTATTTTCATAGGAAAAAAACTGTTTTACAGACTTTCAGCATTTAACTATGATTATTAATCACTCAACTGCATAATTTTTCCTAAGTGATGGATAGCAATTATAATCCTGTCAAGATACTCTGATATGGACAATCACTAACACAGAGCATAAACAGTAAAGAAAGCACAGGTTAACACAGATAAAATCTTACATTTATGACTGGGAAAATTTGCCAATCTACAGAAAAAAATTAAAAGAACTCTCATTATTAGATAACCAGAAAGATGCTGCTGTTGTTGTTTTTCAGTGAAAAACTAACAAAACAAGGGGGTGGTGAAGAGCAAGATTCTAAAACAATATAAATATTTAATTTCAAACCTATGAGGGCGGTTTTTAAAAATTCCTCAGTAAAGAAACAAGGCAAAAAGGGAATTACTGTTTTTCTTGGAAACATTTATACAAGGTTGTCAAGATTTCCTGCATATAATTCTCCTATGAAGAAATTCCTAAAAGACCCTCAAAGACTAGAAGTAAATCTATGTATTACCAAGCTTTAAGGTTTACTTATGGAGTTGTAATTATGAAATAAAAGTATACCTTGCCCAATATTATTAAATCTGTTGTTGTTGTTGTTAGGTGCCATCGAGTCGCTGACTCATAGCAACCCAATGCACAACAGAACAAAATAATGCCCGGTCCTGGGCCAACCTCACAATTGTTACCACACTTTAGTCCACTGATGCTGCCACTTTGCCAATATTAAATACATTAATTTAATAAAGTATATTAAATAAATTCCTAAAAAAATGTACTTATAAGCAAATCATGTTCCAAACTATTTTTAATTAGCAATATAAAGACACATGAGACTAAACGACGCTTTTTAAAAAATTTAACCCCACACGATTTCAAGTTTGTGGAATGTACTTATAACATAAACACATTTTCAGCTAGGAACCTCGAAACTTAAAGGGAAAAAAAATGTTTGAGGTCAACTCAAGCATTGTGCTAATATAAAATAGTTTATGTTACATAACTGGATCTTCACACAAAAATCCAACTGTAGATAAGTAACATCCCATAACTTATTTGATAAATTTAGAATTTTATATAGTGAGTCATGTCTATAGTATTTTCTCACCTGAGAGACACCATGTTTCCTAGTTCTGCTGGTAAACTTCTGAGTTTATTGGATGACAGATCCAGGTAAACCAGATTATGAAGCTTGGCAATATCAGGTGGAATGCGACTAAGGTAATTATCATTTAGGTGCAGCGCTGTCAAGTGTGTCAATGACCAGAGTGATGTACTTAAGCTCCGCACTCTACCTAAAAGGCAAAATATTGACGCATAAAACTCAAGATCCAAGATGAAGACTGAAAAACTGCAACAACTAAAAATTGGTAGAAGCAGTTGAAAACACTTGAAGATACTGTATCATGGGGATTCTAATATTGTCTGTAATCCCACTGATTGTTTCTAACCATGCCAAGCCCTCCTTTAATTTCATGCCACTTTCTCCTGAGAACCACTCTTTCTGATGGATCTTTCATGTATAAAATGAGATCTGACATAACAAGGAGACCCTTGGAGTTATGATGACTAGCTAGTCTCAAAGAGAAAGCAGGAGATTGAGCAAGCTTTTGTGGTAAAAGAATCCTAACAAAAGTATGCATCCCATAATCCATAAAAATTAATAATGCAAGTTTTACTCATTTCCAGTGTCTAGATTAATCAACAAATATTTGAACAGACAAGAAGAACTATTAAAACAGAACCTTGGATTAGCCACCAGGAAAACCATTTTATCCCAAAAGGAGACATCTTCCTAGGCTTTCTGTTGTTATAACTATAGCAACTCTAGTGACAAATGATGCATTTGTGTAGAATACTCAAATGGTGGAGGGCAGAGCAACGTTTTGCTCTATTATACATAAAGTCATCATAAATTGGAGGCTACTTAATAGCAACTAACAAATAGCATTCAGTGGGTGAAGACATATTGCTAAACATCCTACTAAACACACAACAGCCTACTCATCACAGAGAATTATCCAACTCAAAGTCAGTGTACTGAAATAGAGAAACCTTGATTTAACATGTTGAGTACCGCCGAGTCAGTTTCAACTCACACCGACCCTGTTTAGGGTTTCCAAGGAGTGCTGGGTGGGTTTAAACCACTGACCTTGAGTTTCAAAGTGACTTTGTGGTCCAGTGCTTATCCTATATCGACACACCAGGACTAGTAGACTTTATTTATATTTATTCTTTGGATTACCCCTCAGCTATCTACCTTTTAGGTTACGAATCGGGCTGTGAACCGTAAGGTCAGCAGTTCGAAACTACCAGCTGTTCCGCGGGAGAAAGATGAGGCTTTCTGCTCCTGTAAGGATTTACAGCCTCGGAAACCCTGTTCAGGGTTGCTATGGGTCGGAACTGACTCGACGGCACTTAACAACAACAACATCTACCTTTTAAGAAGCTCTGGTAGCGTATTGGTTACGAATTGGGCTGCTAACCGCAAGGTCAGCAGTTCGAAATTACCAGCTGTTCCATGGGAGAAAAATGAGGCTTTCTGCTCCCGTAAAGATTTACAGCCTCAGAAACCCTGTACAGGGTCGCTATGAGTCGGAACCGACTCCACGGCACATAACCACCAACCACCACCACCTTTTGCAGACCTGGTGTGGTGCTGTGGGTCAATGTGCTGGATCCAGGTTTGAACTGCAAGGTGGCTGGTTCAAGATTATCATCTGCTCCTTGGAAATGCTATACAGGATCTTTATGAGTCAGAATGAGGGCACTTAACTACAACAATCTAACCTTTTAGCTAAATTTACAGGTAATTCTTGCTATTGACATTATAATGTGGTTTAATGTTTTCGAATGAATGTCTACTAGGGAAAAACAACATTCTCCACATATTTTGTATAGTGTAAATTCATAAGAGAAAAACAGTATTTATATTCAGTTTTTAATAAACTTTTAATTTTGTAATCTTTTTGTATAGAGAGAAGTCACCATGATAATGCAGAGTTTATGTTATACTCATCCTCCTGTTACAAAATATTAACATTTGTTGTTGTTGTAAAGTGCCAAGTCAGTTCTGATCATAATGACCCTGTATGGGGTTTCCAAGGAGAAGCTGGTGGGTTTGAACTGTGCTTGTGGGTAGCAGTCCAGGGCTTATCCTACAGTGCTACACCAGGGCTCCATTAATATCCTACATCACTATAGAGCATAGTGGTGTCACTCAGGGGGCTACTAACTGTAAATTCAGCAGTATGAATCTACCTGTCCCTCCAAAGGAGAAAGATAAGGCTTTCTGTTCCTGTAAACATTTATAGCCTCAGAAACCCTACACAGGGTTGCTGAGCCATAACCAATTCAATGGCACATAACAACCACCACCACCACCACCACCACCACCACATCACCACAGTACATTTGCCAAAGCTAAGAAACCAACTCTGCTACATTACTATTATCTAAACTCACAACTTTATTTAGATTTTATCCATTTTTGCATTTTCCTGTTCTAGTATACAATACAGGATACATTAAATTTTGTTTCCTTAGGTTGTGACAGTTTTCAGCCTTTTTTTGTTTTTCATGTCTTTGACAACTTTGGGGATGATTGGAAAGGCAGTTGTGGTACAATATCCTTCCATTTGGATTTGTCTGATGTTGTTCTTATAATCAGGCTGGAGTTATGAATTTTGGGTAATCATATTTTACTTTAACAAATTTCAAACATGTATTAAAAACCCATAAAGCGGTTATCACATATTTTGTTGGTATAGATAAGTTTCTAGGTTTTCTACTCTGCCAACACTGAGGTGACAGGAGAATGGCAAAGATTTCCAGTTGAAAATAATTACACTGGAGTAGTCAAAACAAAACCTATTAAATCAAAAAAATCTGGTTTTATTTAGAAGTAGAATTCCCAAGATCCTCAATTCCGTATGTCAAGACTGAATTAAACTCAAAAGAAAAACTGGGAACAAAGACATTTACTCACAGATAAAAAGATAAACTCTAGTACCTCAGGATCCTATATTTTTCTCCCCACTAGCCAACCTAACTAAAAATATACAAAAGACACAAACACAGCAACCTCAACTCTTGCTCATTATTGCTATTACATGCTGGTTTAAGTAACTCAGATTCTACTCACCCGAGATTTCTAATTCTGCCCAGTGAGATTTTTTCCCATTGGCTACCTCCTCTGCTGACATGATGGTATAAATCCTGCGAGGATCGGGAGGATCATATTTTTCCTTTGGCATCCCTATTAGTCTGTTTAAAAACAAAAAGTGATTAATAATTATTACAATCTGTCAGATAAACAGGACCCATCCCTCCCCCCCCCCCCCCGGGGAAGTTGAATTGAAAGATCAGTGGTTCAAACCTACCACCCACTCCACAGAAACCCTGTACAGGGTCGCTATGAGTCAGAACAAATTCAGCAGCACTTAACAACAATAGAAAACTAGACAGAAAAAATGGAATGGAAAATTTTATATTTTTGTCTTTGCTTGCCAGTCTAGTAATTTGCCTCATGTACAAATTCCCACTTGAAGGAATACTACATGACTTGCAGTATGAGATCTTGCAGGAACTTAGTAACAGCGCGTAAGGAAAATTACAATTAAGCAACAATGGCACATGACTTTGCAGTAAATCTAATCCAACCCTTCCTCTGTACTTAGCTGTCTTGCTCTCAAGCAGTCTCCTGGGAGTGGTATGATAAGTCTAAAAATCAGGGTAGGAAAACAAACAAGATGGCGGATCGTGTGAAAATATAGTGAGAAGCTCCATCAGCAACAACAAAGAATACAGGACCAAGCAGGCTCAGGGGATGGTGCTAGAACTCTGATCCACATATAAAGGAATATTTAGAAGGTTGAAAGGCTTACAGCCAGGGGAATTTGTAGCAGAAGCAAGAAATCCATTGCTTTCTAATTCAAGATGCTCAGCTGCTCCAAGAGCCACAATTTTGGGAGAGACCCAGCTGAAGAAGGATCAGAGTAGCCACAGACACTTGACAGAACCACAGAGATAAAGGTGTGGACATTCCTTTTTTTTTTGTTTTTTCCTATCTGTTCATTGGTCTCTCACTATCTGCACACCTCCATTCTGGTGACTAGCGGGGGTGCCTGAGCAAGTGGACACCCAACCCCAACCCAGGAGGGTTCTACTACGCATGCGCACAGATCTCGTAATTTAAACAGACAGTTTCCACTTAAAAACAAATGGCAGCACAAGAAAAGCACAACCGGCCCTCAGCTGTTTATCACTATGAAAAAGGCCTGAACAGGGATTGTGAAATGGGACAGGCAGACTAAAAAGGAAATAGGCTGAAAATTAAATCCTGAGTTACGTCACAATGCCCAACAGTGGCATCTTGAAGTTTCTTGGAAGAAGAGTGAAAATGTAAGCCCATCTCCTGATCACATCTACCTGGCGGCAATCAGAAAGCATAAAAAATACAAAAATACACACATATTGAAATATTAAGGGCACAGATAACTCCTGAATATGCCCAAAAAACAGAAACAGATGACCATATCAGTATATGTCCAGAAACGAGATAAAGTGACTGAGAGAAATGATCTGGAGGGAGACCTACAGTCCATACTAGAAGATGGGCAGGCTTTGGAAACACCTGAAAAGAAATTCAGAAAAATGATTATAAAATGTATCAAAACACTGTAATTAATGGAGTTGAGAAAAATAAGAATTCAGGAAAGCGCTACAGGAACAATCTAGAAACAGCATTGGAAACAATTCAAAACCTACAGAAAGAAATTCAAATGATTAATAATAGAATATCAGAAACAGACAATACCCTGAAAGGGCAAAGGAGTAGAACTGAAGTGATAGAAGCCAGAACTAGTGAGATAGAAGATAAATCTTTCAACTCTATTAAAATAGAAGAGCAAACACAAAAAAAGCATTTTAAAAAATCTGAAGAAGGCCTAAGATTCATGTTGGGCAACATAAAGAGGAATAACTTAAGAATTATTGGCACTCTGGAACAGGAGGAATCACACAACTCCACAGAGGAGAAAGTTGAAGAGCTTCCGGAAGAGAACTTCCCTAATATCCTGAAAAGTGAAAAGATAAACATTCAAGAAACTCAACCATCCCCAGGAAGGGCAGACCCTAAAAGACAATCACCAAGACATATAATAATCAAGCTTTCCAAAATCAAAAATAAGGACAGAATCCTGAAAGCAGCTAAGGAAAAGAGAAGCGTAACATACAAAGGCAAGCAAGTAAGATTAAGCTCAAATTTCTCAACAGAAACTATGCAGGCAAAAAGACATACATAAAACCCTGAACAACAAAAAAAAAAAACTGCAAACCAAGAATCTTCTACCCAGCAAAGCTGTCAATCAAATATGATGGTATAAACAAAACATTCCAGGATAAACAGAAGCTAAGTGATTTTGCCAAAGCCAAACCCTGCTACGAAAAACATCCTAAAGGAAGTTGTGTGGACTGAGAACCAACAAGAACAGACAACAACCAGAGAATGACATACGTGGAGGCATCACCCTGAACTCAATCGACAAATGGAAGAATCAAGAACAGATTAAAATGATAAGAACAGAGGATCTGGGAGGTCAGGCTATGATCAAAACAATTACAATGTGACAGACAGTAAACACATAGGAACAGAGATCCAGGTGGTAGGGAGGTCAGGTAGAATGCAGAATAAAATAGATTGTCTTAAATGGAGGGAAGAATTAATGGAATATAAGGTAACTACAACACTGGTGTTGTGGTCAGAGGTTTTGTTTGGGTGTTGGGGAGGGCAAAACAAGAAAGGGGAGGAGGCAGAAAAACAAGATAAACAGGGAAACACTGCAACAGGATTGCATGGCCTAAGTGGGACAGAGGTAAACAGTGATACACGCTCAACCTTGGAACAAAAGGGCTCTGTGATACAGGGATCTAGGTATAGTTTGAAAAAGGGAAATAATACTAAAATGTTCAACTTTCTTATGAATATTTGTTTCCTTGCGTACTACTGTACAATAGACACTTGAGTAGGATAGAAAGGAATGTTGGGAAACATAATTAGAGAAAACTTGTAAGCCCGTCTTCAGCCTATAACTGATTGGAATACATAAAAGGGGTTCTAGAACTTGCCCAGTGAAATAGACCGCTTGCAAAGCTTTGTCAGAGTATAAGACCTTAGGTGGAATCCTGAGTCCCATCAAGATCCTTATGCGGTGGAGCATTCTCACTAGCAACGACAAGCAAACCAGCCTGGAACAGCTAGAGCAACAGAAGATAAATCTTCAAACAAAGATCATCAGGAAAAACCCAAAACAAAAATGTTAGTATGACTGGATACTACAAGAAAAA